CCTCACTGCAGGCAGGGCGCTGTGCCCGCTGCTGCCCTGTGGGATGGGGCTCCCAGCTGCCCTCCTTTAGTTCCAGAGCCCTGTGCTCAGAACAACATTAACTCCTGGCCTGCGAGCGTCTCGGTTACTTAAACAAATGCTGAATCCTAAATGGATTTCACACTACAGTGACCCAGTCAGAAAACCTGCCATGAGAACAACACGCAGCCTGTGTGAGTAATGATGCAATGTGTTAACACTTCAGCAAATTGTAAGATTAAATTTGCGTATACGGGGAGACAAAGACTATGAAACCAGAGAGCCTAAGCCAACAAACTCTCGGATCTGCTGCACAAATACCGTAAAGTTCTCCTCCTAGCAACTACCTCGCTCCACATCTAACTGTTCTTAGAAACACAGAAACAAATACAAGCTGATTATTTTAATACATTTTGGAGTTCATTTCTTATGCCAGAGACGACACACAAATGGATGTTTTGATAACTCTGGGTTCACTGTAACCACAGCTCTGCAAAGCTCTTGGGTTGAAGACAGGATTTCATTGATAAGTCATTTACCTCAAAGATGACACTGGAACCCTTTGCACAACCCATAAACACCTCTAGCAATGAAAGTTCTACGAGTGAGGGACAGGGGGGAGGAAAGTTACCAGTGGGAAACATAAGCTCATTTGCTCGGCCTGGCCTGCTCTCACCAACCATGGCAGCGGATGGTGCCCTGCGGGGAGGAGTAATGAAGAACCCTGAGGAAACTGCTGCCAGCCACATTTTGGGCAGATGAGCCAGGGCTGGATCCCGCATGAGCTGCAAGAAGTGTTCTGAAAAGACCCAGAAGCCACAGATTAACAAAAAGAAAAAAAAAAGCAGCTTATTTTTATGACTAGCACACAATGGGCTAACGGAATTAAGAGATGATCTCTTCACTGAGATTTGCACTGCAAGGAGGAAAGCCCCCACAGGAGCGTGGCTGGAAGGTTTGCAGCCAACATCTCCGGGGATCCAAGGCAGTCACATACAGCCGCCACCGCCCCGCTGCACCCCGGCAGCACCTCTGCCACCCATATGGCAGCACATCCATACTGCCAGCACAAATGCACAGCGCCATTTCCCTCCTGTTAGATTAAAAAATAAGTACGCAGTAGCAGCATGGATCAACTTTTCTCTTGGTAAGCTAGAACTCTGGCTTAGAATCAGGGTCATCATTGTTTGGGTTGGACTTGAAAAAACCTGCTCAGCTACCAACCAGTGGAATGGATCATTTCAGTGGGAAAAACTAGACTTCATCTGAACTGGTCCACCATCTACCTCTGCACCTTAACTTTCACAGCACCCTTTTGTACACGCCGTGTGACATCCCTGATTCTTTCCTTTCTGTCAAAAATACAGATCAGCTCTTCTGCTGTGGGTCTCCAGAACTCAAACACTGAGCGCAGGGTGACTCGAAGCAGACAAGTCACAACACAGACTACTGAAGCCCAAAGCAACCCCTTGGCACAACAAGTCCACTCTGTATGTCAAAAGCAAATGACCGAGCAGGAGACGCTCCTGGAGTGCCATGCGTGACGCGCTGCTGAGTCAGGCGGTGCAGCCCCACACTGTGCCAAGCCACAGCCCGGGCCGAGGGCCAGACTGGGACAGTGCAGTGCGGCCAGCGGACCCCTGACCCACACACCTCCAGCAGCTGCCCACCGCTTTCCCCTTCCTCTTGGGACAACCTCTGAGCCCAACACAGCCCTGGCAACGCAGACCTGAGCGAAGGGCAGCTGTTCCTGGAGCAGCAGCACTTCCCCTTCAGGTTCTGCACCGCCGCTGCTCACAGCTCTTGCCCTTCCTCAAGCCTTCCTGATCCCTATCCCCACAAGCTGGAGCACTAGGAATGATTTTAGATGTAACACTAGAAGCCGTACCGCTGCCAAGGGGGCCCACTTTCTGTAAATTCTGGCTGTAGGCTGAGAAAAAAAAAAAAAAAAAAAAAAAAAAAAATAGAGAACTCTGCGCTGCTGCAGCACTTCTCGCCGTCCTCCGTTCCCCCGATGAGCCACATCTCCAGGAAGTCAGGGCAGCAAGAGAGCCGAGTGGAAAACGCATTAAATCCACTGCTCCAGAGAGCAGCGAGCACGCAGCACTGGAACATGGAATTCAACCAATTTCGCTTTGTGCAGTAACACCACCAGTCGTGTCAGGTTGGAGACGGACATCACCGAAAGCCCCAATTCCTCAGCGCAGCGCTTGGCAAAGCCTCACACCAAACCCTGCCCCATTCCCAGACCCCGAGCGCTTACTCCCAGAGCAAGCTGTCAGCACGCAGCCCCTGCAGCACCCGGATGGGGCCGTCCCACAGCTGGGACTCCCACTGCTCTGCACAGCCAGCTGTGTGCCCAGCCCCGAGCTGCAGACGGCCTCTGCGCTTCTGCTCACTGTAACCAATTCCCTACGTTTGCATTCTGTGTAAGCTGCATTAACTTCAGAATGCTTTCCACGGCTCATAGGGAAACTGATTAGCTTTCTCAGCCCTGATTATCACGTATCTCATTAGAGACGGCGAGCTGTGCTGTCCTTAGGAAAGGGAACTGAAAATTTCATTTTAAGGCTGTACGTCTATGAGACGTTGCAGGTGTTTGGACAATGCAAGCAGCACTGCATGCACACCTGAGCACAACCCTGGCTGCTCCTCCCATGCACTCAGCATGTTATTCATGCTTTGAATAATGAAAGACTACCACCAGCAGTAGGAAATATTTCCCATTGCAAAGTGCAGCTCAGCAATCCCAGCCTTCATCTCACAGAATGGGTGCTTCAAAGGAAGCAACAAATGGAGCCCCAGACGCCCACAGGAGCCTCCCGAGATGGTTCTTCCTTTGTTTCTGGAACAAATGGCAAGAATGCCATTTTTGTTAAATCTCCTGGGTGCTACATAAAGAAATCTGCAAAACATCCACTGAAAGTGACCCAGCTCACTCCAAACATTTCTGACAAAGTTGAGGAGGAATGAATTCCCATCCCACCCCCTGAGATTCATCAGCACCTGGCAATTATTTTAAAATAAGATTCTGTTACCCCTAATGTAAAGGGAAAAAGGGTAAAAGTAAAGCAGGCAATGCTGGGCTCAGAACTGGACTTGTAGTTTTAATATATTTAAAAAAATAAATAACTGCTTCCGTGAACACAGGAAATCAAACTTTTCTAAGCAAAACCAGGAGCAACCTCATTTTCCTTTTTAAACACGTATTTTAAGTTCAGTTCCATTATCTCAAATATGGCAAAAGAAAACATTACAAGCTGCAACTGCCCCAGGGCACCAGGCAGCCACAGCGCCCTGCACATCACCACCCCAGAACTGCTCCCTAACAGCCAGCACAGCATCCAGCACTGCTGCTCCTTTCACTGCAGGATCAAATCTGCACTGTATGCACGAGGAGCATTGAGAGGGCTTTTCATCACAACGTTACCAGAAACCAAGCACACAAAAATGGTGTTTATGAGACTGCCCAAAGCATTACAGATGGATGTGCACAGCACTCAGCTCCCAGAGCGCTCGGGTCTGACCAGGCAGCGCTGTACAAGAAAAACAATGCATCAACTTCACAGAAAGCCTCAAAAGTGATGTTATTATTTGTGTGGGATATGCTCTGAAATCAATCTCTCAAACCCAGAAATAGTTCTCGCTGGGATACAGATTTTGTTATGATCATCATATACATATATAGAAAATGTAATGAAAAAAAAAACAAAAGAACTCCCGCCCGCTTGCCCGCCGGGGCCCCGCCACACACACAGAAAATATGAAATAAACGAAGAACAATGTGAAAGTTGGACTGGTTTTGCAAAAGGTTCATACAGAGGATTTCTGCTCTGTCAAATAAATGATAAGGCACATTCAATATTCATCCATCAAAGCAGACCTTCTCCCCAAAGCCCGACTTCCCTTCCTGGCTTCCTGATGCTGCAGCTTGCTCTGAACACGTCCCTAAAGCAGCACACACCTCCGCTACAAAAACCAAAACCTACCGCTGAAGTTCAGGCTGCAGCAGCTTCCAGCTGCGTGCTGAAGGGATGCGGACCCTCCTCCATCCCGCCGAGCCGTGGGAAAGAGCTCAGCCCGCACAGCTCACCCGCAGGGACCGACTGCCAGCAGCGCAATAACGCACAGCGCTCACACAGACGCGAACCGAACCCACAGTCGCCGCTTCTCCGCATTCAGACCCGCAGAGCCATTTCCTAATGCCCCGCCGACACGCACCAAAATCCTCCTCCCCAGGTGAGGCCACGCCGGGCTCTGTGCGACACGGCCAAGGAAAACACAGCCGGCGCTGCGGCCGGACCCGTGCTCTGAGCAGGGAGCGGGGAAAGGCCTCGTGCGGAGCAGCCGTGCGCCGGGCCGGCCGGCAGAAAGCACGGCACAGAGGCAGGCGCTCGGAGCGCACCGCCTCCCAGCAGCCCGGCACCGGGTTAAGCCCAGGTACGGGTAAATCTCTGCAAACATTCTTATCTCTCTGAACGCAGCTATTAAGCGTTTCCTACTCAGGATCCTCTTGTCCATGTAAGGCAAACGCAACACCAAGCAAAGCTAGAGCTCCGTTTCAGCTTAAATGCAATTCTCAAAATTTACCCAGCAACCAAGCTATTTTTGTGCCTAACATTTCAGTAACACCAGGGGGAAAACAACAAAAAAACTCATGCTGCAGTAATTGATCCTCTGACCCCTGAGAACGAAGCGGCTTTCGGACACAAATACTTCCCCTCCCCGCTGCCCTGCGCGTGGATCCTTCCGCCACAAACTCCATTCCACTCTGGGATACACTTTAAACTTTTTTTTTTTCTTTTTTAAACAGTCTGCTGCCCTGCTCCTTTCTTCCCTTTGGCAGCACAGCTCAGCACCCAGCTATGCCCAGGAGCCAACCAACAGAGCCACAACCGACCTTCAGCAAAAACCAAACCCATGCACGCAGTTACGCAGAGCACGCTTGCAATATTTCAATACAGAGAAATAAAACTGGTTACCTTGAATAGCCGTTAGAGAAAGCAGGTCTGCCAGAAAGGTTGAGCGTTCCCAAGGGAGCTAAAGCCTCGTCCCCTGATCCCTGGCACCTATTCCAATTTTCTGAACTGGCAGGAAGAGATGGAATGATATTAAAAATTGGTTTCTGATCCTGCTGCTGAGAGAGCGATGCAGTGTTTAAATCATAGTGATACATCTGTCCCCCAGAGGTGCTGACACCATGGATAGAGATGGCAGAGACTTTAGCACCCAGCAGATTAGACCCGGAGAAGTTTGCCTGACAGTAAATTGGGCCCATGTTTTCTTGCTTTATGCCAGGAGTACAGAGTTCAATGTAGTCTTCCTTTTCTGTTTTCACTTGAGGCATCGGCATTTTGGAACTGGGTAAAAGGTCACCACGGTCATTAATTTTAGGTTTAGTGTCAGACAAAATGGGGGGCTTGCAGTCTTCCCCCAGGTTTCCCTCCAGGAGGAACGTGTCGTCAGCAGAGATGGGGGACAGCAAACCTCCATCATCGAGCAACGGGTCCAGCCGCCACGGGCTCCCATTCGGCTCTTTGCCAGGCGATACCGATGGCAATTCTAAGTCCTGGAGGATATCCAGGGTGCTTTGGTCTTCAGAGAACAGCTTCAGGCTGCCGCCGTTGGAGCCGACCTGGCTTTGGACCGAAGCCCCCGGCTCCAGGGGCCCGCGGCCAGCCATGCCCGCAAAGTCCGGCTCCAGCGGCGCCTCGGATGACACTGCTCCCTTCGTGTCCTCTGCCAGGCTCGAGGACTTGTTCAAGCTTGCTATGCTTTCCTCCAGGAGCCTGAAGTCCGTTTCTCCAGAAGGGATGCCAGTTTGGCCCTGTTGTGAAAATCCAAGGTCGTTTCCCATCACTTTCGCATCTGTTTCACCCATATACAGTCCCATGGAGAGCGACACTGCCTTGGACAGGTCCGGCGGAGGCACATTGTTTACCAATCCTTTAGAGAAGTCAGCCAGAGCGGGTTGCTGAGCAGAGTCTGACTGAGAAGACACGGGGAGAGGAGCTGCAGATACAGGGGCTTGTGTGGAGGCTCCACCCCTGAAGGGCGGATGGAAGTCCATCACGATCCCTCCTTTGGTACTCATGAGCACATTTTTCCCGGTTTCGTCTTGATCTGACGACTTAAGCAATTCTTTGGAATCCATGATTTTAACATCAGCTACAAAAAGATCACAAGATATCAAAGTTAGCACATCGAGGGTACTTCAATAACAGCATAACAGAAGGCAAAACCATCAGCCTGGTTTGGTTTGAGGACGGAAGCAAAGCAAACCAAGCCACGAGCTGACATACGCCACGTTTTTCCCAAACCCACTGATATATTTTAACAGGTGAGTGATAAGAAGAATTTGTTATTTTTAAAGCTTTGTAAAGCCGTACGGAGCGCTCCGTGCGCCAGCACCGCTCAGAGCCACAGCACAACGGCAGGCACTTTGTGAGCACTTCCCAGCTCTGCTACAGCCACGCCAGCAAGCAGAGGAGCTGCGAACTGTGAAAGTGCCTCATTCACAGCCTCCGACAGCGACCTCCCCGGCACCGCTCGGTGCCAGCCAGCCCAACGCGGCAGCTGCCCGGGAGCCGCACAGCCTCGGTGCCCCAGAACGCTCTGCCTCAGTTCAGCCTAAAACAGAACGCGTGAATCCTAAAAATAAGTCACTGTCATTCTGTAAATAAGCCCCACATTTACACATAAAACTCAACTAAAACTAAAGTAGTATTTTTACCAGCTTCAAACACTTCAAAAGCTCGCGGCTATCCTCCAAACCCATCTAGCACCGACAGTAAAGCTCAGTTTCATCTGTTTGTGTTTACTCTATTTACTTCCAGCGCAGAGCGTAAATATTTGGAGAAAAACTGCAAATTCTTATCCGAACTTCCCACGCTGCCTCTCCTCTGCCCGAACCCCGCCGCCCTCAGCCACGGGCCCGCAGCACACAGCGCAGCTCCCGGCCCCGCACCGCCCGCCCGGCTCCGCGTGCCAAAGCGAGGGCCGCAGCCAGCAGCGCGGCTCCGGGCGCACGGCGTTAAGGTGGCCCGGCCGAGTGGAGCGAGCTCTGCTCGGGGCCGGGGGAGGGTTTGGGATAGTGTCGCATAACCTCAGCGCGGCCGAAGGGAGAATCTCTCGCCCTCGTTTTCCAACTCGCGCGCGACGCCGACAGCCGCCCCGACACCCAAACACAGCGCCCGAAATTCGGGGACCGTGAAAACGCCGCGCGACGACTCCGCGGGGAAACCGCGACGATAACTGAAATATCGAAGCGCGGACACAAGCGCAGCCCGTTCGCTTCGGCTCCGCCGCGCTCACACGAGGGGAAGGCGCCCGATCCGCTCCATCTGACGACGTCCCCGGGCAGCGGCGGACACTCGGCGCGGCGGACGCGGCCGGAGCGACACGCGCGGACCCACGGAGGGATCGAAGAGCAGCGAACAGCGTTACGTGCGGCGAATTCCCGTTCGCGCGACGCGGCTTCCCGAGCAATGTGTCGGGACCTGTTGAGCCGTCTCCTGGCACACCCACTTCTACAAAATAACACCGGCCCACGGCAGCGGGGCGCCGCGCTCCCCCTGCGCTCTGCTCCCCGCGACCACCCGTGCTGCGGGCGGCAGCGAAACCCCGGGGCCGCATTCAGCCCCGTCCCATGGAGCAGCTCGGCCGGCCTGCCGCCCCC